AAATATAATAAAATAAAAAGAGTATGACTGAATTTTTTTTATTTAATAATTATAATAAATTAAATCTTTAATCTTTATAATTTTGTATTCTGCTTTTTATGCCTGGGACTGGTTGCTGGATACGAAAGCAATGGTGTAAAAGGAGCATCCTACTAAAAAGGCTCTGTTTTTAAAAGCTAGATGAAAGCTTAACAATGATGATGAAGATAAATAAGTTCACTGGCTCTTTTCTGCTGGGTGATAAGTACACTGGCTCTCTGAAAGGGATTGTACTACAAAAAGTGATGACATAATAATGGTGGAGGCAGAGGTGATTTTTAAGAGCCAAATAAGCAAAATAGAAACCGCTAGAGGTACGCCATTGGAGAAGAACAATAAACGTAAATGTTTTGAATTTAAATTTTTATAATTAAATTCTGAAAAATTTATTCTTAATCTTAACGTGAATGAATTATCTTTGATAAAATTAAAGAAAAAATTAGTAAAAATATGCGTAAATTGATTCAAACAATCTTAATCGTTAAAAAAAAATATCGTTAGAGATGGTTCAATCCCTTTTTACATTCCACCGTCGCCCTTGTTTTTTATGGACATGCTCTACGGTGACAACTTCTAAACTCGAGGAAGTAGTTAATCTAAATCTAGACACAATAAAAAAAAAAAACTAGGGAAAGTTAAACTTACTAAAAAAAAATGAAATGAGGGTAAATTAAACACGGTTCTATTATATTTGCTATGATTATCACTTTAATTTCTAAGAGCAACTCCAACAAAATGAGTTAAATGATACAAAATCTTTAAATTTGAACTATTTAATCAAAAAATTTCTTTCCAACAGATTACCTTCAAAAACATCTAAAATAATATTTTACTACAGTAATACTCTATATTTAAAATATTACTATACCAATATGTAAAAGAAAATTATAATATTTTCTCTATTTTCCTCTCCTTTCTTTTATTCTCTTTCTCCTTTTCACTATTTTAACTATATTCCTTTCCTTTCCTCCGTTCTCTCTCTTTCTCCCTGTCACTATTTTTACAAAAATAATAATACAAAAAGAATGAAAAATAATATTTATAAGAAGTAATTAAAAATATAGAATATCTTTGAAATGTGTATTGAAAAAATGAGTAGTTAAAATAAAAAATTTTGATTTTTGAGTAGCTAAAATAATTTTTGTTGTTGAAGATGCTTTAAAGATTAAGGGCCTATTTTATTTGTATCTCAAAAAATAATTTTTGGAAATTATTTTTGAGAAAAATTTTAAGATAGTGTTTTTAAAAATTTTTAGATCGTAAAACCTGTTTAGTTATATATTTTTAAAAAAAAATTTAAAAAACAAAAATTATAAAATTTATTTGGACAATAAAATTATAAAATTTGTTTCAACTCTCTCTCCCTCTTTCGCTGTGCATCAAGACCACAAAGCACAAAACCAAATGAGAAACCCACAACCACCGATGGAGAAGTGCATCAAGACTCCCTGCGCATCAACACCCACAACCACCACCAAAACTCACAACAACCACCAAAACCCACAAATCACCACCGAAATCCACAACCACCCAAAACCCACAACTACCACCACCACCACCAAAACTCACAAAGCACCATCAACTACAGTCTCCAACTTGCGCAGAAAGATATTTATCCTGCAATTGGATTCGTACATAAAGCCTCAACCATGAACGCCATTGAAGAGGTTTTCCACATCTCCAAAGCAATTTTCTTAGTCACACTCTTAACAACAGTCCCTGGGTTCTGGTTCACTGTGTTCCTAATTGATCAAATCAGCCGGTTTGTAATCCAGCTCGGTGGATTCCTCCTAATGTCCATTTTCATGCTGATTCTTGGAGTCAAATACAAAGCTTTCAGAGGTAAACCGTGTGCGGACACTAAGCACAAAGATTTGTTGAACGATTTTTGTGAAAACCCACAAAGAAACACTGAACCCAGATCTAGAAAAAAAAAGCCCCGTCTTCGTCTTCATTAAAGAGGAGGAGTTGCACAGAGAGAGAGAGAGGAGATGAAGATCTCTGTCTTCGTCTTCGCCGGAGATCTCTGGCTTCGTCTTTGTATTCGCCGGAGATCTCTGTCTTCGTTGCACAGGCTCGTTGCAGAGACAGAGAGGAGATGGAGAAAATAGGCAGCGAAGGGCTTTTATAGTAGAAAGAAAAAAATGCATTTTGCTCCTAAAAAAGTTTGATGGTGGCCCTCTTTAAAGAGGAGGAGCTGTTTCCTTATTTTCATTTTGCGTTAGAAAATAATTAAAACATCATTTTATTATTCTCTAAAATCATATCTCAATTTTTAAAATTTTTAAAAAATTAAAAAACAAAAAAATTTAACAAATCTAAAATCATATCTCAATTTTTAAAAAATTAAAAAACAAACAGATTTCGGGTGTTTTTCCAATTTTGAGTATAAAAAATAATTTTTGAAAACTAAATCATACACGCCCTAATTTTTTTTCACTTTTGTGTCCAATTAATGGTTAGCTCTTGGTGACAGGCACGAGACAGAAGCTGATGTTATTTCTCACTTTTCTCTGTTATTTGTGATCACCAAATGCTTGTGAAAAGATGCAAACGAAAAACACATATTACATATCTGAGACCCTCTCATCATTAGACCACCCTTTCCTGTCTCGCTTTGAAGAAAAGGGTTTAGAGGGTGAAAAAGTTTGGAAGGTAACTTGGGTGATTTGATATAGGGGTTTTGGGAGGGAGCACGGTGGGAGTTGTGTTTCTAAATTTATAATTACAGTGTTTTTTTTGGGAACAAAAATAACATAAATTTCTTTTAGTATATTCACGGGTCTCACAGGTGGTATTTTAGATTATATTGGTGCTCCCTGCCTCTGTAGTATTTGTTGGAGTTGCCGCGACTACAATCTCCAGCATTGACAGAGGCGTCAAGGAGTGAAAGGGGCTGGTTGTTGTACAGAATACTTGCTTCGCTAGTAGTAAGCAACAGAGAGAACACTTCCTCAAGTTGAGTCAGAATGAGCAGCAACAGTGGCTACTAATGAATCGTACTTAGGACCAAGTCTACTAAGTACATATGTGATTATGTTATCATTCTTCATGGCTTGATCAACTATGGTGAGTTGGTAAGTGAGTTTTTTGATACGTTTAAAATAATCGACGGTAGTCATGCTACTTTTTTTGGCTATTACTAATTGAGAACGAACTTGAATTGTCTTGACTCGTGATTGAGACGAAAAGACAATTTTCAGAATAACTCTAACCTCTCTGAAAATAGTGCAAAGACTTAAACCACCACTTTGTCGGTTAAGGATGAGTTGATAATACTGAGGAGATAATTATCTTGCTTGATCTAGAAAGCATAGCTTGGATTTGGGGAAGTCCAGCCATCAATATTGTCGAGTTCTTTGGGAGGTAGTTTCATTGTTCGATCGATATAGCCAAATACTTCTTGGCCTTTGAGATATGTCATCATTTGTGCCTTCTACATAGGGTAATCGAGGCTCATAAATTTGGACAAATTGAGAGTAGAGGAAGGATTAAATAGGGAGGTGAGGGAGCATCGCTGTCAAAGTTAGAATAATTGGGAGAGGACAATGTTATTGACGTTGGTCAATGAAAGGTTGATACCACTTAGGATTTCAATATAATATATTTCAAGAACGATCTTTGTATTGTTTTATAAATTTGTACAATACAATTACACTTTATATAAATATATACAATAACTAAATTATCGAATTTTAGATCAAAGACGTTGAATTGGTTTACGATTCAAATTTGAGATGAGAATGAGAACTGTAAATTCTAAAATTGTGTCTCTTCTCTTTGTGAGTTGAAGACTCGGTCCCACCACAACAATCTTTTCCAACAAGTGCTAACGTGTAAACTTTGAGGGACACAATTAAGAAGATTGAAATTTAAGATCGACACAAATGAATAACTATAAGGGTCAATTTAGGGAATGACATAAAGATAATATTTGGAAAGAGATGGGGCACTGGAATTTATGGTCACATGCGTGGGGTAGTCTAACAATTTAACACATCAAACACTTAGGACAACTGTTTAAAATCAGTTAATCATGTTCCTCCGCAAAGAAGATGAAAAATCAAGAGACAAACTAAAGAGATATCATGTACAGTAAAACAACAAACCAGAAAAAGGTAGATTGGGAGAGGAAAATTGACGGAAGGATGATGTCTTTTCTTGTAAGTGAAGCATTAAATAAAGGAGAGAGACAGAGAGAGAGAGGTCATTTTCAAGATGGGGTAGTGTTGGCGTTTGAAGGATCTATGCATCTATCCAAGCTTGTATTTTTGAGCTATTAACCAACGGTGGTAACTTTTAACTAAGGAGTAACAAAACCAGAAAATGACTAGATGAGAGAGAGAGAGAGAGAGAGAGTTGAAAGGAAGTAGCCAAATTAGTTGTGGCTGAATGGAAAAGGGTTTTTGGGTTGCTATTTGTGTTGTGTAGGCGGACCAAAACAGCAGCAGCAGAGAGAGAAAGGGCAGTGATGAGCTCACAAAGATCTTTAATCTCCTTTCTGACCAAAACACTGCCACACTAGTGGCATCAAGGGCTTTTATAGCCCAAAGTGAGGATTCCTCTTCTCTATACCCCTATATCTACTGTTCACTACCGTCTTCATCCCCCCTCCCCCCTACTCTCTCTCTCTCTCTGAAAGAATTGTTGGAAATTTACTTGTACTCCTCTTGACTCTATTCTTGTTCGACTGGGTACTAATCCAGTTGTCAATTATCTCTGTGGAAAGAGGGTAGCGCAGAGATGGGTTAGGCTAAATCGGAGATGGGTTTAGAGTTCTGGGTCTAGTTTGGTTTTTCCGATTAGGGTGAATGGAATCGGATGGGTTGAATGGCAAGGCCTTGTGGGAGAGGCAGAAGAGAGAGACTAGGGGGGAGATACAGAAGCAGCACCATAAGCAAGATAAGATTGGAAAGAAGAGAGAGACTAGGGAGGAGAAAACCCATTAAGAGAGAGTCTTCTCAATCGAAAGCTGGAACAGGACAAGCACAACAAGGGTCTGAGTCTGGATCCTCAGAGCATTCATCATCATCATCATCATCTTCAACATCTTCAGAACCAGAACCAAGTTCGAGCTTCAAGACATGTAGAAGAGGAAGGAGAAGATGAAGATGACCAGGACACGGTTGAAAAAGAACAGCCACAAGCCTTCTATGGACACCACCATCACCATCTTCAACACCAGCTCTTGTATGAACAATTAGACTCACCACCACCACCTCTACCACCACGCAAGAAACTCTCTTACTTTCCTTCTTGCTCATCGGTGGAGCAAAACTCCGAATATGCAAAATTGGGCGAAAAAATGGGAGACGCTCATTACCAAGACCACCACCAGCAACGGCCCCGGACAACATCGTCGAGATTGGGGCTAAGAAACTCCGGCGGCGAGATCGTGGAAGTTCAAGGCGGTCACATTGTTCGGTCCACCGGCCGAAAAGACAGGCACAGCAAAGTCTGCACCGCAAAAGGCCCGAGGGACCGTCGAGTCAGGCTCTCAGCCCACACCGCCATTCAATTCTACGACGTCCAGGACCGCCTTGGCTACGACCGCCCGAGCAAAGCCGTGGATTGGCTCATCAAAAAGGCCAAAGCGGCTATAGACGAGCTTGCGGAGCTACCCGCATGGAAACCCACCATTGGTTCAACAGGAAATTCAATATTTGAAGACAACCAAGCCCAAAGACAGCATGAAGATCATCATCAGCAACTTCGTCTCCACCACGACGATTTGGTGGACTCCATTGCTGGTCCTTCGAGCAATAGAGCAGTAACTATGTTAGGGACTGGTAATCAGAATCAACAGCTAGAAATGAATAACAATAGAAGCAATCCAGGCCATGAGAATAGCTCTAGTTTCTTGCCACCATCTTTGGATTCTGATTCTATTGCTGATACTATCAAGTCTTTCTTCCCAATGGTTGCTTCAACGGCGACTAATTCATCCGCAATTCCGTTTCATGGCTTCCCATCATCGGATTGCAATTTGCTGTCCAGAACCAGTAGTCAGAGCCAAGATCTGAGGCTCTCACTTCAATCTTTTCAAGATCCAATCCTTCTCCACCACCATAACCAACAAACCCAGCACCAACATTCCACAAATCAGAATGAACAAACCCTTTACTCTGGAACAACCCCATTTGGGTTTGATTCGGGCTGGTCTGAAAATCAGCATACGGAGATTGGTAGGTTTCAGAGAATGGTGGGTTGGAATGCCGGTGGAGACACCGGTACTGGTGGTGGAGGTGGAGGATTTGTATTCAATTCGCCGCCGACGCCGCCGTTTCTGCAGCCGTTGTTCGGCCAACCACAGATGTTTTCTCAGAGGGGACCCCTTCAGTCCAGTTACACACCTTCGATTCGTGCTTGGATGGACCCATCCGCCATTGCTATGAGCACCACTGATCATCATCGTCACCAACAGCTTCATCAAACAGTACTACCCATCCATCCATCTTCGATATCTGGAATTGGATTTGCCTCTGGAGTTGGCGGATTCTCCGGGTTCCGTATTCCAGCACGAATCCAGGGTGAAGAAGAGGAACACGACGGCATTTCCGACAAGCCGTCCTCTACTTCCTCCGATTCACGCCATTGATTTAGCTCAAAAACTAAAACTCTCTCTATCTAACAGGTTATCCCTTCAATACCCATCTCTCAAACTCACTTCTATTTATCTCATGAATTCAGTCCTATTCAATTTTCCCACTGCACATCTAATGTTGCATTGAATTCATCTTACAGGACTTAATCCATGGTCTACAAGAGCAACCAAGAACTACCAGTTGTTGCCGTTATAGCTCTTAACTGGGTTCAACCTGGCAAAGGGGAGAGTTTTCAGTCAGCTCAATCCAATGGCTGCGACCGCTAGTAGAAGAATTCTGAATATAGTTCAGGTTTTCTGATTGCGTTTAGCTGTTTGATGTTACTTATGTCTATGTTTTAACTTCTGCTTTCAATTTGAGTGAGCTTTCACTGCTCAACTTTGTGACTCTGGGTTGCTTTGTGTTTCTGTTGTTAGACATGTGATTTTATGACTGTTTGCTTAATTGTGGAGTGTTCTTGAGTTAGGACTATTGAAAAAGACAGTTTGTTGCGTCGAAGTTTACAAACTGGCTCACACTGGTTTCTCTCAGACATGGCAATTCTTGATAGAGAAATGCCAGATAATTCACTCGTCATTTTGGTATCAAATTGTGTAGTGATAATGATTTGAGCTTTGTGTTGATTGCTTAAATAAAATATTGAGCTAGAGTGAACAAATAGGATGTTTTCCTCTCATTTATGGTCAATTATTCAATGTAGATGAAAGGGAGAGCTCTCTCTTTCTCTCTGATTGTTTTGTGCTTTACTGCTTTATAATGAAACAGGCCATGCCTCAATTTCTTCCTTAAACCCGCAAAAAGAATTGAAAGAATAACACTGATCATATATATCCCCATCACTGCTTGGATTTTTAAGAGCATGGGGGGAGGGTAGTCACTTTTCAGAACAGTAGCTATAGTTAAAGTGTTTAAAAGAAATAGGCTAGTAGCTAAAAGCACTACCCAAAATGTTTCCAGGACTTTTTAAGTGTCAATAGAGAGGAACCCAGATCATATTAAGTTTCATTTACTGCTTATTGCTGCGTTAGCCTATTGGCTATAGATTGGCCAAAATGGTATGGGAGTATTGGAGAGCCCTGTTTGGTAGCAACTAACAGCAAACAGAACCAGAAACCTTGAATGCCTCTACGAGTTAAATGCACTTCTAATTTACCTAGGTTCAGATGCTGAGGAAGAATAATTGGTTGGGGGGGGGGAGGGGTTGAGGGATTTGAATCATATGTACCCAAAGTTACTTTTGTATTGAGGTCAGGTTGTGGAGGAATATAAGGTTATCACATGGAAGTGGATGAATAGAAGAATACGATGAACACAAGCTAAATTATGGAAGAATACACAGATGGGTACCACCAAAATTCGGTACTTGGCCAGAAGTCCATGGCCCCTACCTTGCAAATATATGTGCCTAATAAAAAAATCATAGTCTTGCTGGAATATTTTTCTTCCTTTTTTTTTCTGTGAAAGAAAGAAAAATGAACACTTGGCTTCTGGTGAGATGGAGACAATAGATTAATTGTGGTTATTTCTTTATGGTTGATAGTTACCCATCGAAAGAACAAAATAGCTTGCATAGATTTGTGGGGCAATTAAGATCTAAGAAAGATTTTACACTCTTCTAGAATTAAAAAGGGATTTTGATTTTCGGTTTGATATATTAGGCCCCTTACCAATACATGGCGGGTGATTGAGATTTGGATCTAATGAGAATGGCCCTACATGTAGTTTCTGGTGGTAGTCCCTTTTCTTCCATGTGAGCAAAATAATTGGACTTTGCAGGACTATTCTAGACATTAACTAGATATGTCTGATTGATATATAGGGTAATCATAGCTGTCTTTGGAATTAGATGGGCTTGCTGAACAAAAGAACAGTGAACTTAGTAAAATAATATCTGATGGATACATGAGTTGGAATGTACAAAGTTTAGTGTTCTTTAATAACTCAGAGAGCTTTCTTTTTCATGTACATTTGGACCTTTCTTGGAGCTATATTAAAAAAAATTCTACAATTGAAGAAACCAAATAACTTATTGCAGAAGTTCACATCATTAGTTCATGATTGGCAGAAGACTTGAGTATATATTAAAACCCCTGGGTCCAGATGATAATAGTATATTGCAAAAATACTCACATTAGTTCAAACATGAGGTCTGTTTTTTATTCTGTTTTGTACTAACATGGCAGACCATTTTTCTTCAGTATAATCCAATATGGATGGAACTAGAAAACTTAAATAATCATCAGATATCTTGAAGGCATACCCTGTTCTTGCTTCATCTTTTCTTCTTCAGTTTGAACTGAGACTAGCTTATTGCTTCAGAAGTCGATTATTTTTGTGCTTCTGTAGTCACCTTGCCATTGGACAAAGGGGGTTTAGTTGAGACTACAAGTTTCATTGCTGCCTGCTTTACAATGCTACCATCCTTGCTTCCTTGCCTGGCATGAACTTTCTTTGGGACAATGGGCTGCTGGGCATTAACCCGAGTCTCCCATGGTCGAACAGCTATCCAGCGCTCCATCCAGCTCCAACCCCAGCTTTCTTTGCCAAGATCATAATAAGCTTGGCCAAAATAGGGACTGGAGTTGGCTCTCCACTGCAAATCACATTAAATCAGATTAAAAAACTATGTGGGTTGAAACTCGAGGGCACAAGTGTTAAGAAGTTTTGACTGAAAATATCAAACACCTGATGTGAAAAGGCATAAGCCATGGCTCGCTCCCGCTTAATAGATGCCTCTTCCCTCTGTTGTATCCTGGAGAGAATTTCTTCCATGGTTTCAGAGCCACCACACCACTCCACCTGTTTGGCAGATCAAAATGTGATGCACATGGCCGGAAGATACATGACAAAGTTTACAGTAGAACAGGTATATAAATAAGTCGTGTCATGTATTTTTTTGATTTGTTTCACTTTTACTTGATTTGTTTATTAATTGTGTTATATTGGGTCCATCCGTTTATGAAACGGCTGGCTTTCAAAAAATTTCAACTTTTTAACTTTGTGTTGTGTTGTGCTTACAACCCCTACTCCCACCAAACAGGAGTGAACAGTCATTAATACCTGCAGTTCATGAAGCTTAGCCTCAAGCTTTAGCTGATTTTCTAGTTTCTTTTGCCTTGCCCGGCCTTCTGCGACCATACAGAGACGGCGAGTTTTAATCTCCGCTTGTATTTTGCTCCAAAAATGAATATGGTTGAGAGTGTCTGATGGTTGGTTTTTAAAAGCACGAGCTTCAATCAAGGCCTGAGACCTCACAGTCCCCTTCAGTCGATTTAGAGCTTTGCTTGCCTGCAATGTGCCCAATTTATGAAGACTTGCCATAATCAGATGAGCTCAAGGCAACAACACAAGAGGAGAACAGGTCAAAAACAAAGTAATTTGATTCCCAAAGGAAAAACAGTTATTTACACTGACAATATACGAAAGAAAAAACCCGAATTATCTTTAGATTTTAACTTGTTTCGAAATTAATGTGATCACGATGCACTATACCATGTATGCCCGAAATTCAGTTTGAATCCTTATGGCAGCAATATCCTCAGTCGACATACTATGCAGACCAGCGGTTTGACTGGAGGCACCATTGGCAAGACCACTCGATTCATCGCCAGCAACATGCTTCCCCTTTGAACCATTTGATTTTTTGGTAGCAGAATGTACCTTGTTTTCGAAGAAATAAAGAAGAGCAGATTAGCAAAGCAAGAACATTAACTTCATTATATGGAAGAATTAATATGTCAAATAGGTTGCAACAGTATAAACCATTCCAAAAGGGAATATCACCTTCACTTGCTTGGTTCTGTCTTCTTTCACTTTCTTTAGACAGAATATTTTGTTAAACCAGTTGCATGAACCCATTGTTCTTGATCAGGAGGCCAAGAGATTGTTCTGACTTCTGAGGCTTGGGAGAGGGGGGGGGGGGGGGGTGTAAGAAATCTTTTGACTCGACGATTGTCGGATTGAGAAGAATCTCTGCTTGTTTACTGATTATATGTCATCATCCTGCGAGGCTACGGAATTTGAAGGCATAACTTCCCCATAGAGAACATGAATCAAAAAAAGAAAAAAAAAATTCCATTAACATTCAAATCAAGATGTAAATGAAAAATAGGAACTGCAATCTGGCTCCTCTATCCAAAATAGGACGGTAAGGAAATGAGTTGAATGGAGAGAATTCGGTAGACACTGATAAAACCCAACCTACTTTAACAACTTAGTGGCTTGACACCGTCCCGTTTGGAGAATGAACCCTTATGGCTTATTCTCGCAATTCAAATAAGATTTGGTCACTTTGACACGGGTTAGTCATATTCATTCTCGTTATCAATTTGTTTATAAATTTGAAATCTAAGACTCTCTGATTTAGAAAAGAAAGACAAAAAGCCATTAATCTCATATTGATAAGCAAGGGGTCTGCATTCACTATTAAGTGTACGCTCGTCCATGCCTTTCAAGCTTGATCTTGACCTCTATTTTACACATCATATGTATATGTTTGTGTGGGTGTATGGCATGACGAAGCTTTGTGACTATGTCATTCTTGGCAATGGTGATCGCCGAGCAGAAGGTGACGGCCACTTATTTCAACGGTAAATTTTATTGACACCCCCAAATTTAAGTTATATTTCACTGACACCCTCTCTAGTTTCTAAAATATGACTTAAATATAGGGAGTGTCAGTGAAATTTACCGTAAAACAATTCTCATGAGGCCTGGTCTCCATATTATGTTTAGAATATCACGGGTTATGTGGTTAATTTTGAAAAAGCGGGGGATGCAATATGTAGAGGGTCTAACCACAGGGGAGCTAAGTGAAATTTACCCTAAAAGCTCTGAAGCAATCACATGTTAAAAAAACACACAAAGAGTCCATTAATCTTAAGCTAGCATTGAAGGCAACGCTCATTCCCACAAATCCATTTCATAAGTATTTACATTGATAATGATATCAAATTTCATAAATTACTCGGCACGAAACAAGAAATACACTTAT